AGCAGCAGCAGCAACAGCAACAGCAGCAGCAACAGCAGCAGCAACAGCAGCAGCAACAGCAACAGCAGCAGCAGCAACAGCAACAGCAGCAGCAACAGCAGCAGCAATTGCAACAGCAACAGCAACAGCAGCAGCAGCAACAAACACAGCAACAGCAACAGCAGCAGCAGCAACAACAAACACAGCAACAGCAACAACAACAGCAGCAGCAGCAACAAACACAGCAACATCAACAGCAGCAACAACAACAGCAGCAGCAGCAACAAACACAGCAACATCAACAGCAGCAACAACAACAGCAGCAGCAGCAGTCACCTGTTGGCCACAGAATGCATGTGGTGCACCGGCCCTCCCCCAAAGCAGCCCCTTTCCTTGCAGCACCACTCCCTGTCCGCATTACAAGAGACCCCAGTTCCCTCCCGTTTGTTGCCACAGCACCGACTGCAGGAGCAGCAGGTGCAGTGGCGACAGGCACTGGGGCAGCAGCAGGAGCAGCAGGAAGCACCGTGCAAACGCTCCCTGTGTCTTCCTCTCCTTCCCCATTCCCCTCAGTCGCTCTTGAAGCCACAGCAGCCGGCACAGCAGCAGCTGCAGGGACCTCAGGAACAGCTGCAGCAGGGGCAGCAGGAGTAGCAGGCACAGCAGGAGTAGCAGGAGTAGCAGGCACAGCAGGAGTAGCAGCTACAGCAGGCACAGCAGGAGTAGCAGCTACAGCAGGCAGTGTCCCGCCCTTGTGCCCGCCACCCCCGCCGCCCTACTGCTGGATCTCTCCCCTATCCATGTGGGGCATGGCTCCCCCGCTACCCTACCCCATGCACCTGCCACCACCGCCATCTATGGCCCTGATGGCCCCGCATGGGTACTTCTCACATCCGCTCGACTCCTCTGCTCCACCCATGCCCGTGCCTGCAACCATGCCGCTGTCCCTGTCTCTCCCTGTCGCTACCTCCATGCCCATGCCCATGGCCATGCGTGTCCCCATGCGAGTCCCCATGCCCCTCTCCATGCCTGCGCATGTATCCATACCCATGCCTGGTCATGCTTCCATGCCTGCGCATGCTTCCATACCTGCCCATGCTTCCATACCTGCCCATGCTTCCATACCTGCCCATGCCTCCATATCTGCCCATGCTTCCATGCCCCCCCGCACATCCCTACCTCCCCGTGCATCCTTGCCTGTTCACGCATTCATGCCTGCCCATGCATCCATGCCCGTGCCTCCCCGCCCATGGAACCCCCCTCCTTCCTCCACGTCATCTCCTCCTATGGTCACGCCTGCAGTAAACGGCTCCTCTGCAGGGCCGCCAGCTGTCGCGCTGTCCTCCCCTGCGCCCGTCGCCCCCTCCGTGCCTGATGCCCCTGTGCACCTGCCTCGCCCCTTCAGACCCCTGCCAACTGCACCCGCTGCTGCTGCTGCTGCTGCTGCTGCTGCTCCTGGTGCCCTTGCTCCTCGTGCTGCTACGGCTGGTGGTGCTTCTGCGGCTGCGGCTGCTGCAGTTGCTGCTTCTGACTGCCCTCCTCATGGAAGCCGGCATGGCTCCCTGACCCACACTCTGCCCGCTTCACCCTCTCCAGTGCCCCCACACTCGCACACACACTCACATGCACCTTCTCACTCACACGCACCTTCTCACTCACACGCACCTTCTCACTCACACGCACCCTCTCCCTCACATGCCTGTGTGCACTCGCAGCAACAGCAGCCGTACCACTCGCAGCCGCTGCACGCACATTCTATCTCCACAGCAGCAGCAGCAGTTGCTGCAGCAAGGAAATTCCCTGCCGGCCTGACTGGTTGCGCCAGGGACTTGCCTCGTGGAACGGGCAGTGGAGTGGGCAGCTCAGGCGCATCTGCAGCAGCAGAAGCTGCAACCGCAACAGCAACCGCAACAGCAACAGCAACAGAAGCAGCAGCAGCAGCAGCAGCAGACGAGGGCGCTGCATTGCTATGTGCGGACGAGAGCCATCCGGGGGAAGACGACGACGAGGATGAGGAGGAGGACGAGGACGAGAAGAAGGAGGACGGGCAGCATGCAGGGGAAGGCGAGAGGAACGGTATGAATCTCTACGTGCCTTCTGTTGCTGGGTCCCCGCATGTGTCCACTGCTGCTGCTGCTGGCTATGGCAGCGGTATCAGTGGCGGCAGTGGCACTGGAACAGCTTGCGAGTCTGCCTCTGCTGCTGCGGCGGCGGCTTGTGTTGGGAATGCAAGTGGGGCTGGAGGGGTGGATGAGGCAGCGGACAGGAATGGGGGGCGGAGAGTGCTGAGGATGAAGTGGGAGGGTATGGACCTAGTCAGGTGGACTGTGGATGATGCTACTACCACTGCTGCTGCTGCTACTGATGCTGCTCCTGCGCCTGATTTTGCTTGCACTCCTGGTGCTGCTGCTTCTGCAGCCAGTGGTGCAGCAGCAGCAGCAGCAACAGCAGCAGCAACAGCAGCAGCGGCGGCAGGTGTTGCTGTTGGTGCTGGGTCAGAGGAGCAAAGGGCACAGCAGCTGGTAACGCCAGGAAAGGGACGGTCACGAGGCAGGAAAGCACCACGCTGTGCCACTCTCTCCTCTGCGGCCGCTACAGCTGCCGCCACAACTGTGGCTACAACTGCGGCTACAACCACCGCCGCTACAGCTGTCGCGACCACTGCCACCACAGCTGCTGCCACCACAGCTGCTACCACCACAGCTGCTGCCACCACAGCTGCTACCACCACAGCTGCTGCCACCACAGCTGCTGCCACCACAGCTGCTGCCACCACAGCTGCTGCTACAACCACAACTATCTGCAGCGCAAGTGTGGGAGGGCCTGCTGAGGTAGTAGCAGCACCGGTGCGGCTACTGGGCACACCACCACAGCGTCACCACCACACCTCCCCCCTCCCTCACAACCTCTCTCTCGCGCACCCCTCCTCCCTCATTCACAGCCCCTCTGCCGCCCTTGCGTCCTCTTTGTCGCCTCTCCACCGCAGTCTGGCTGATGCGTTGCGGCAAAAGGCACCTAGAATAGGAGAGGGAGGAGGAACAGCCGCAAGCTCAGATGGCTCAGGCTCAGGCTCAGGCTCAGGTGCAGGCCCTGCAGCTCCTGTTGCTGCTCCTGTCGCTGTTGCTTCTGGTGCTGCTGCCTCTGCTGCTGCTGCTCCTGTGTCCACTGCACCTTTTCCCTCGGCGTCCACACCTTTCCGTCCACGAATGTACACTGAATTGCCTGCACCGCCACCTGCCTGTGCTGCTGCTGACTGCACGGCTGCTGCCATCGGCTCAACGGGTCACCCATCTCCATCTCCCTCGCAACCGGTCCCCTCCGTGCCAGCTGTCACTGTGGCAAAGCCCACTGCTTCCCGTCCATCTGCCTCCTCCTCTCCACCCTTCCCCCTCCGCCCCTCATACCCTTGGTCTGTTTCCACTGCCCCCGCCGCCCCTGCCCCCGCTGCCCCCGCTGCCCCCGCTGCACCCGCTGCCCCCACTTCTCATCATGCCGCCATGCTGCCTGCCTCGCACGCGCCTGCCAAGCCTCCTGCTCTACCTCTCATGGCCCCACACACCCCGTCCGTGCACCCACACACCCCCTCAGTGCTCCCTCACACTCCCCTCTCGACGCCTCACACCCCTGTCCGTCCCTCGTCTCTCTCCTCCTCGTCCTATCCTCCCTCGGCCTCATCGGGAGCAATGGTGCCCCCCCAGTCTCTGCAGTCATCCGACCATCAAGCATCTGCATCTGCATCTGCCTTGGCAGGCATGGCACCCATGGGTGGGAGTGCAGCAGCACCCATAGCAGTTTCCTCTGCATGGCGGCTGCCTCAGAGTGCGTTTTCTCTGGCCTCTTCCAGTCATCCCGAGCCTCCTGTTCTGGTTCGTCTCCCGCCCTCAGCCATGGCGATGGGTATTGACAGATCAGCATCGGCAGGCACGAATGATCAAGGAAAGCAGCAGCAGCAGCAGCAGCAGCAGCAGCAGGTGTTGCTGGGTGACAGGCGCAAAGCAGCAAGAAGCCGGAGTGCCTATGCCATGCTTGCTCCTGCACCATCTGTCCTGGTGCAGGCACAGGCCCAGGCCCAGGCCCAGGCCCAGGCACAAGCACAAGCACATGCGCAGGCACAGGAACAAGCTCATGCCCTAATGCATGTGCACACAGGAACGCAATCCCAGTCGCAAGCAGAGGTGCAAGTTGGAGCATATCATGCGGCAGGAAGTGCAGAGAGAGAAGCACAGCCCGAAGGGCGGTCTTTTGTGCTTGGACCAGGGTCAGCAGCAACCTTGGGGCCCGCAGGCATGGCAGCTTCAGCCGCACCTGTTGCAGAGGCCAGCAGTCCCATTCAAACTCGTGCTCCTGCTTAGGCCTCCGTACCTCAAACACGGTGCCCTATTGCACCCATGTTACCAGCTGTATGATATTACTAAAGGATGTATCCATTGTGTGTGGATACATTCATCTTCGTTGGCAGGGTGATTGATTGTGGGGGGTTCCTGTGAGGTTTTTGTTCCTTTTTGTTTGTTTTCGTTTCTCTCTTTTTTCTTTTTATGGTTACAATAAGGGAAATGACACTGCTGGGTGCAGAGAGCACAAATGCCTGTGCCTTTCTGTGTGTATTGTGTCTACAAACGGTTTTCTGATGTTGCAGAGTGTGTGCCCTGTTCTTGGTTTTAATGCATTGTGATTCCCTATTGGGAAAATATGCCACAAGTAACCATCATGTGACCCGATAACGTTATGGTTAATTACGGTGAATCACTCTTAACAATCGCAATGGTACACTGCTGTAGTGTAGGCGCTTCCCCAAGGGTTCCTAGATTTCGGATCGCTTCCATTTCACATCTTGAGCATTGACGGAACTGACGGAACTCATGGACGGATTTCGTCGTGGCAAATGGTCTCTCGCAGCCATTGACATGTTACAGCCGCTTCGCTCGCTTCTTCGCAGATCGCGAGCACGCGCATCCTCGGTCCGGGGGTGTCCACGTCGGAGTCAGCGGGCTCAGATCTGACCGTTGTCGTCGTGCAACTGCGTGTGGGAGCAAGACGACGACGACGACTGCGCTTTAATCGGGACTATTTGTACTGTTACGGGCTTTCGAATCTCGTTACAACACTTTCGACCGAGGGGAGGAGCGCGATGGGGGACGGGGAAGACTGCGAGATGAGGGGGGTCGGCATGCATGGCAGCGCGACTGGTACCGCGGAACCAGAAAAACCAGGCGGAGCCGCGCAGGCGGTGGGGGGGATGCGGGAGCGGGGGGCCGTGCGGGAGGCGCGAGATGCGCGAGATGCGCGGGATGCGCGGGAGGTGCCGTTGGAGGCGCAAGTGGAAGAGTGTCCAGCCACGGACGAGTTGCGCGCGTCGTTCCGCTCCGCCATAAATCGAATACTCTTGCAGTCGCACGGCATCTACGTGCGTCCATCTATCTCTGTCTCACTCCCTTTCTCCCTCGATTCGTTTCTAAGGCGCCTTACGCAAACAGGCTCTCGCTTCGCTTCGCCTCGTTCCTTTCGCGTCCCTTCCCTCTTCCTCTCTAGAATCTCCCCGTTCTCCTCCTCGATTTTTTAGCCGCGTGTAGAGAGGGTGTTTTTGAGACGTTTCAAAAACACCCTCTCTACACGCTTCGCTTCGCTGCTTTCGCGTCCCTTCCCTCTTCCTTTCTTGAATCTTTTCGTTCTCCTCCTCGATTTTTATATCTCGACCTAAAGGCTCTCCCCCTTCCCGCCCTCCATCGTCATGCGATTTATCCCGCCGCGCCTTTTTTTTCCTGCTTCTCCTCCGCGCGCGTCGTCGCGCGCCACCAGAACGTGGCGCTGCGGTCGTCGCCGTCGCAGTCGCACGCGGAATCGCAGCGGGGGGAGGAGATGGGCGCGCTGCTGCACCAGGTGCGCGCGCCTTGGGGGGAAAGAGGGGGAGGGGGAGAAGGGGAGAAGGGGGGAAAGAGGGGGAGGGGGAGAAGGGGAGAAGGGGGGAAGGGGAGGGGAGGAAAGAGGGAGGGGGAAGGGGGGGGAATAGAGAGGGAGAAAGGGAACAGCTGGTATTGTTCTCACCTCTTGACCATTGCCGTTCCTCCTCCATACTTCACGTCATGTGTGCGGTCCTGTGCTCTCACTTGAGTCGATTCAAAAAGTCATCCTGCCTCTGATCTCCTCTGCGCTTTTTTCTTTCTTGGAAAATAATCTTAATTTGTCTCCGCCTGTGTTTCCCCGCCTGTTTCCCCCGCTTGCTGGTCCCCCGCCTTTGTGGATGGGCGGTGTGTGGGTGGGCGGTGTGTGGGTGGGCGGTGTGAGAGTGAGGGCTGTGTGGTGGATGCAGATTATTGACAAGTGGGTGGAGTTCTCACAGGTACGACTGACTGCGGACACACTCGTTCTCGTCTTCACCACGGTCGTTGCTCGCACACGCACGCATGCACGCACTCATGCACATCCCTCCCATGTCCGCCATCCCCTGTCCCATGTCCCATGTTCCATGTCCCATGTCTTATTGAACCTGTCTGTCCCATGTCCCATGTCCCATGGCACATGGCACATGGCACATGGCACGTGGCATGCAGGAGGAGTTTGAGGACATATTGGAAGAGCAGCAGGTATGCTCCACCCTACCTCTCCCTTGCCCAACTTTCTCCTCCCATCCCTCTCTTCCTCCTAGCTTCCCCGTCTTATTCCCGCCCCCCTCCCATCCCATCTCTCCCCTTCTAGCCAATAGTTTCCCCACCTCTCTCCGCATTCTTCCCAATCCCACCTCGTCCCTCCTAGCCCCTCACGAATCCACCATATCTCGTCTTTTGATTCCATTGCTCTCTCCTACCTACCTACCTACCTACCTACCAAGTCCGCTTATCCAGGGTTCCTCCCTGTTCCTCCCTGCCTCTACCTCTCAGATCAACGCTGCATTTACCCGTGCGGACCGCTTTCAACAGAAGCTGCAACTGAACTACCTGCCAACAACCCTACAGAGGTACCACCACCCCCTCGCCCTCCTCCTCCTCCTCCTCCTCCTCCTCCCTCCCTCTTACACCTCCCCCTTCCCTCCCAATCCACTTACCCACTTCTCCCCTCTCACCCACATACTCTCCCCTCTCCCTCGCCCTCAGTCCTCTTACTCACCCACTCCGTCCTCCTCCCTTCCCCCTCCTCCCTCCCCCTCCTCCCTCCGTCCAAAGCTCCTTCCCCCAAGCCCTTCCTCTCCCTCTCCTGTTCCGCCTCTCTTATTTCTCGCCTCTCGCCACATGCACGTGGAAACTCACGAGTCGGCCGCTCAAATCCCACGCATCTCCCGAGCCTGCTATCCCCTCCCCCCTTTCCATGTCGCCCTCTCACCCACCTTCCCCCCTTCCTCACTCACCCGCCCCCACTTCCCTTCTCCCTTGCCAATCCCGCCGTCCATGCAGGGGGGCAGCGGGGGTGCCGGGGGGTGGTGGGACTGCGAGGGAGGTGGCGGCCGTGCGCGTGGAGAGCAGCAGGCAGCAGGTGCAAGCGCTGAAGCAGGCCATTCATCTGGTGAGCGCGCGCTCGCACCTCTCATGAGAGTCTTGATTTGAGTCATCTCGAATATCGCCTCAGAGCCGCAAGCCGCAGTGGACGTTAGATGGAAGCAAAGAGGGAAGGAAGGCTAGATGGAAAAAACGGTTGAATATGGGGAAAGGGAGGTGAGGAGCTGTGTCTGGTGGTGAGCGACGCTGCTTGTGCTCTCTCCCCTTCCCTCACATCTCCTGACCGTTTCGTGCGGGCATGGGCATGGGCATGGGCATGGGAGGTTAGATGGAAAAACGGTTGAATATGGGGAAAGGGAGGCGACGCTGCTTCTGCTCTCTCCCCATGCCCATGTCCTGACCGGTTCCTGCTGCTGTTGTTGCATGGGCATGGGCGTGAATATGTGGCGGATGCTTCACAGGTGGAGCAGGAGTTGCAGTCGCTAGGAGGCACCACACACGGCTCTCAGCCTGGTGGAGCTGCCAATGCCAACCAATGAACGCCCTGCCACCCTGCCACACACACACACACACCGATCCGTTACTCACTCACTTACTACCCTCTAACCCTAGTACACACAGGTCCCCCCTAACCCTTACTGGCACACTTACTAGTACATTAGTTCTCCTTTGGTATCCTAGCTCTGGCTGGCTACAGCCAATGGCAAGCAACCAGTAGATCCATCTACTACCCAATTAGGGCGATCTCTCATGCCCACCCATCCACCCTCTAAGGCTGCATGGTAAACGTATCATTGTAAGTGCTATGGGCGTTAGGGAACGCACGGACGGAGGCCGTTAGACCTGCAGGTTGAGGGCCAGTGTAGCACTAAGCTAGCTCTGACTCTTGGTAGTTTGGCAATAGCCAGTACCTAATTTCATCCTGATTCTCGTGTAATTAGATTAGATTCAGTGCCTTGAAGGTTTGTGCTGGTGCAGCCTGTGAGAAAGGCAGAGCCCAGCAAGATTGCTTTCTGTATGTGTTTCTGGTTCAAACACAGCATGTATCTTGCACACGGCTGGCAAAGGGATTTGATTTAATTCAGAGCGTGCTGGCTATATGTGGGATAGTGTGCACATACACATGATGCCCGACCAGTGCACGCGAATTTGCCATGCACCGGATGGACACGCTGCCCCCGAACTCGAAACCCCTGCTTGCTGCACCCCATGTACAGGCACCTGGATGGCCTTCTACAGTGAACGCGGCTCGGCCTCCCCCCCACGTGCAGACCACAACAAGCAGTGCCGACCCATGTTTTCCCTTGTTTCTAGGCCAGGCGCCAACCTGACGAAACGAATGGGCGAAATGAAAATGGTTTCGTAAGTGCATTCGCCCTCCTACCCCGCCACCTAGGCAAGTTTCAAGGTGCGTGTAACAGACATCTGGCCTGGTGCACGCTGCCACGTGTAAACCTCAATTGTGGGGTACAAGCCTGTCAGAATGAGGAATGAATGTGCCATTGATGTTGGTTGGGGTACATATAACAAACCCTAACTTCTGTACCCCCTAAGATAAACCTCACTACAGGCTACAACATTTGACATACCCCCATAGCCTAAGTGAGGGGTGTCTAGCAAAATCAAAAAGAGTACGGTCACAAGACCAGTCCAAAAGAAAACAAAGCTCAGGGTGGATCACAACGTCACCACACACTCTGAGCACAAGCAACAGTGGCCACAAGGCCAGTCCAAGAGATCACAAGTATATATAGCAAGTGTACAGACGAAGCAGGCAATAAACTCAAGTCTACACATGACTAGAACCTGTGTCAACAAGGCCTAACTGCACACAACACCTCTGGTGGTCACAAGGCGGAAGCGCCTTGGTGAAGATGTCTGCAGTGTTGGCCTCGAACTCCACGAACTCGAAGCGAGCTTGTCCACGTCTCTGCAACTCTCGCAGAAGAAAGTACCTGACGTGAATGTGCTTCACTCTGCTCTCCAGTCGCGGCTCACGACAGAGGAGGATCGACGCCTTGTTGTCAGTAAACAGGGTCGGTGCAGAGCTCGGCCGCTCACCAAGGTCGGCGAGCAAGAAGGTCAACCACCGCAACTCCTGTGCCGCCATGGCACCAGCGTAAATCTCAGCCTCAGCTGTAGAGGTCGAGACAGAAGAGGAGCGCGTGGAACGCCAGGAAACAGCTCCAGAACCCAGACTGAAACAGTACCCCTGAGTAGACCTGTGAGTCTCAGCGTCGTCAGCGTAAGAGGAGTCACAGTGACCAGTGAGTACGACAGACTGCTGCCCTCCAAGAACTAGCCCCACGCCTGATGTAGTCGCTAGGTACTTCGCCACCCTCACAGCTGCCGTCCAGTGAACAGGACGGTGTCTCCCTGGCGCAACAAAGCGCGCAAGGATGCTGAGAGGGAAGGCGAGGTCCGGGCGAGTACAAGTCATCAGGTACATGAGGCAACCCACAAGCTCTGCGTAGGGACCACTAGGCTCAAACGGCTCGTCAGGAAAGGGACCAGTGAGTCTGTGGTCAACAGCGAGAGGAGTGCGCTGTACGGTGGAGTGCTGAAGCCCGAACCGCTGAAGGACCTGCTGCACCATGTGTGACTGTGAGAGTGTAATGGTGCGAGCGGCTCTGTCCCTGGTGATCTGCAGGCCAAGGTAGTGGCGCAGCTCACCAAGATCAGTGCACGTGTGTCTCTTCTGCAGTTCGGACTTCACGTCTGCCAAAGCAACCCTGTCCGGAGTGGCGAAAACGAGGTCGTCGACGTAGACCAGAACAAAGAACGGTGTGGAGCCACGACGAACGAACAGCGACGGGTCGGCAGAAGACGGCTGGAACCCAAGGTCAGAGAGGGTAGAACGCAGAGTGTCGTGCCACTCACGAGGGGCCTGGCGAAGACCGTAAACAGGTCGCCTCAGCCTCCACTGGGTCCCAGGAGGGAAAGTGCCAGTGAAGGCCGAGGGACGACGTAACCAGACCTCCTCGTGTAGGCTGCCCTGAAGGAAAGCAGTGGAGAAGTCGAGAGAGTGTAACTCGTAGTCTCTCTGTGCTGCTACGTGTAGTAACACCCGAAGAGTGGTCATCTTCGGGGTAGGTGCGAAGGACTGAAAGAAGTCAACTCCCTCGCGCTGACTGAAACCTCTAGCCACGTAGCGCGCCTTGAAGACCGGGGGAGATCCCGGTGGCCGCTTCACCCTGTAGATCCACATGCCGTCGACTACGTTCGCCTCAGGGGGGGGAACCTCATCGACGTAGGTGCCTGTGGATCTGTAGGAGGCCATCTCTGCGTCCATGGCAGCTCTCCACTGAGAGGCCCAAGGCCCTGACACTGCCTCAGCGTAAGTGCGAGGAGTCGGAATGTCAAGGGCGTCGGGGTCACCCTCAGGGGCGAGGAGCATGGCACAGAGATGAGGGGAAGCGGCCGCCAGGAACTCTAGCTCAAACTGCTTGTCCTCTAGGGCGTCACAGCCAAGGGCAGACACACCCCCGACGGCCAGAGGACTGGTAGGAGGAGCAGCCACAAGCGTGGTGGCGTAGTCAAGGCGACGGGTAGAGGCAAAGTCAGTAACTGCGGCAGTAAGAGCGGACACAGAGGACACAGAGGCACGAGGGTGAGTAACAAGAGAGGCGAGAACACGAGAGAGAACAGGACGGTACGTGCGGTAGTAGTCAGAGACGGGAGCAGGGAGCGACACGGTGAGGGCCGACTCAGGAGGAGACGGAAGCACAGACTGAGACGGACGAGGTGGACTAGAACAAAGTAAGGCAGTACGAAGGTCAGTGAAGGGAACAGGAGACGAGGGACAAGCACGAGGGGAGCGACGAGTAGCCCAAGAACGAGACGGAGGAGGAGAGGACAAAGGCGGAGAACTGGAGAAAACAGCGGGGGAGGAGTCAGGCGGAGGAAACGTGGGACCGTAGACAGGAGGAGAGGCGGAGGAGGGAGGAGAAGGGGAGGGGAGACCAAGGGCCCGAAGACCCGAGACAGGAGGAGGAAGTGGCTGCTGCTGCTGCTGCTGCGACTGCTGCTGCTGCGGACGCGGCTGCTGCTGGGACTGCTGCTCCTGCGGGTCCAGCTGCTGCTGCTGCTCCGCCAGCCGCTGTAACTCCCTCTCCTCTCTCTCCAACGCCAGCTGCTCGTCACGGGCACGGCAAACACGAGCCTGGTGCCTAGTCGGGTGGGTGGGGGGGCGGAGTAGTGTCCGAAGCAGCGGGAGCTCCAGAGTCAACCCTCGAAGAACCAGGCGCACCACCCCCAGAGGCAGCACTAACACCAGCTCCAGACCCAGGCTCACCAGAACCCGAAGGAGGCGCATCCTCACCCCCAGAGGGAGCACCCCCAGTGTCCGCGCGGCCAGCACCAGCTCCCGGACGACAAGAGTCCTCTGCACCCACCGGGTCAGCTCCAACTCCAGAACCAGAAACTCTAGCTCCAACTCCAGCACCCCCAGAACCAGAAACTCCAGTGCCTCCTCCAGCTCCACCTCCTGCTCCAACACCAGCTCCACCTACAGCTCCAACATCAGCTCCAACACCAGCTCCAACTCCAGCACCCCCAGAACCAGAAACCGGTACAGGAACAGGCGCAGCACCAACCTCTCAAGAGCTAGCACCAGCGGCACGCTGCGAGGAGGACTGTGGGGAGGGAGGCTGTACCGGAGGGGCTACCGAAGGAGGAGGGGTAGCCTGGGACACACCTGACGGGGCTGGGCCAGGGGGGGGAGGCTGTACCGGGGGAGCAGGAGGGGGAGCGGCAGTCAGGAAGAGGGGGGGAGGAGGAACCGGGAGACCTCGACTGGGGTACCTGACGTAGTACGGAGTGGACTCCTCGAAACGGACGTCACGGGAGTCAAAGAACCGGTGAGAGGGAGGGTGGTAAAAGGTGAAGTCAGAGGAGTCCTCAGGGAAACCAAGGAAGACACAGGGGACGGCACGAGGCGAGAGCTTGTCCGCGGAGGTGTCGCGGACAAGAGCCAAGCACCCCCAGACACGAAACCGCGACGCAACACCAGGGGACCCTGTCCAAAGACTGGTCGGTGAAACCTCTGGTCGAGAGACACGTGGCCAGAGGTTCAGCTGGTGCGCGGCGTACCTG